TTAATAGGAAAAATGATAATAAAATTTTCCTAAATTATATAAATAATAATTTAATATATTAAAATGATATAATTTTACTGAAGTTCATAGAAATTTCTGTATGAGATCATTTTATTTTTATTGGAAATAACAAGCCCGGATGACAATTTTTATTTAAAAAATAATAAATTTTATTTTATGAATAACAAAAGTTGAATAAGAAATCATAATTTATCAAGTATAATATATGCTATTGAAAAATAAGTTTTTAAAATAATAAATTTCAATCACAATTTTTATTCAAGGAATAAGAACTTTTGTTCAGTGAATCTCAAAATTGAATAAAAATTATAATTTTTTAAGTGTAATTTTTATTATTGAAAAAAAGTTTTCAAAATAACAAATTTCAATCATAACTTTTATTTAAGAAATAATAATTTTATTTAAAAAATCATAAGAATAATATAAACTTAATGAAATTATGACATTTCAAGAGATCAAATTATCACTGATGTTATTTGGGAGATTTTACTATTATTTTCCTACGAATACTTTGTAGGAGAAGAACAATTATGACTTGCACAATTTCAAAAAATTCAAAAAGGATAAAATACTCCCTCCGTTGAAAAATGTAAAGTATTTTTAATCGAATATTATCCCCCAATAAAAATAGTTGTTTACTTTTCAACTAATCCTATTTTTTTATATTTATCATTATTAAACACCTTACAATAAATATAAAGTCATTATCAATAGGGGCACTTTTTTAAAAAAGTCAATAATTACATATCAAAAGATTAAAAATGTTTTATATTTTTGAACATCCAACTCCTTTAAAAATGCCTTACACTTTTAAACATAGGGAGTAGTCATTTTATTTTAAAATTAATTGACAACAATGTCTCTAAAAACTAGAAAAAAAATTATCACATTTTATGATAGCTTTTATTATTTATATATTTTGAAGTTATTTTATTGAAATATGGTGGATGATTAGATTATCACCAAAATATAAAAGAGTACTAAAAAATTTAATGAGAAATTGTTTATCTCCCCCTTCTCTGTCCCTTTTATTATGGAATCCAGCAATTAGAGAGATGAAGAAGGTGCCCAGAAATATTAATGATTTTGAGGGTGATTACCTTTTAGGATTTGGGTTCAGTCCAACTGATAATGATTACAAGATAATGATAATTAATATTTGTGAGTTTCATTCCGTGGTTAATCCAGTGGAAGTGTATTCATTAATCTCTGGGTCATGGAAGCAAGTAGAATTTGGAAATCTAGAGGGTGTAAAGTATTAGTACTCTGAGTAATGTAACTGTCAATGGGTTATGTTTTGTTTTGGTAAAAGGGATGATGTTTATGATCAGGTAGTGTCATTTGACATAACAAATGAAGTGTGTACTTTGATACCAATGCCTGATTTAGATCATGCTTGTTATAACTAAAGGCTTCTGGTGTATGAGAACAAACTTGCTATGATTGCTGATAATGTTGAAAAGGATAAACCTTATTTGATTCATTTGTGGCTGATGGAGGAGCATACATGTGTGTCAGGGAACACATGGAATTGGACTAGAAAATATACTAGCAGCCACTGTCCTTGGCCTTGCATTTTAAATGCAGTGACTATTTGGAGGAATGAAATTGTGTTCCATCCTTTATATCAGGTTGAGAATGACGTTGAAACAAATAAATTAAGTCTGCTTAATCTTTCTGCTGATAGAGTTTGAGAGGTTTCCTATCAGATGTGGCCCTATCTATAGGATTTTTAATTACGTGGAAAGCCTTGTATCCGTCGGCAACATGGACGTTGAAGAACCTTGAGTGTAGATTTTAATTATTACATTGCAGGTCTACTTTCTCTAAACATTTCTGGTGGAAATGAATCATTAATAGTTTAGATCATAAGGGAATTATTATTTATATGTAGTTGTTGAGTCCTTTTGGTGAAATTATGTGGAATGATGAATGTGGGTATTCAACTACCAGATGTCACCTACTCAGTTACTCTATCTGACCTTGTTACTTTTTCTTCGTAGTTGCTGTTTGATATTTTTTTCCCCTAGAAGTTTTTTTGTTTCTTGTCTTTTATGAACGTTGAATCCACAATAGCAGATGTTCAGTTTCTTGTCTTTCACTTCAAATCTCATATTTGTAGAAGTAACTTGTGTTATTTTGCTTGGTGCTTTTTGAGGCTCACAATATGAAGTCTCAATTATCTCCTGCTTCCAATCATGCTTGGAAAAGAACTTTTGAAACGTGTTTGGATGAAGAATTAGATTGAAATCCATTAACTTAGGGGCTGTGAAAGGAAATTTGAAAAGCAGATGTTGCTGGATGAAATATGGTGCCTTTTTTTTTTTGGCATAAATGTGTTGAATTCAACTTCCATTCTGACTACACAAGTTTGGATGCTCTCTACAATCAATTCGAAATCATCATGATTTTTTATTTATATTTGATTTTGACATGTATAAAAGCGTTGTTTTGTTTAGATATTTTTTAGAAAATCATAATTTTAAATTCATGATTGATTTTGGGATATAGTGGGGGTGTTTTTGAATTTTTTTTAATAATTCATGGTTTTAGATTCATAATTAATTTTAACATATGACATTAGTGTTTTTTATATATTTTTCATAAAACTATAATTTGACCTAATTTTCAATTATGGATTTCAATTATACTCAAAATCAATTTTATAAATCAATTATTATAAAATATAATTAATTATATTCAAGATCAATTATTTAAATCAATTTTATTCAAAGGTAATTTGATGAAGTTGGTTCTCTCTACTCTTTTACTCCCCTTCTCATATGAACCATTTGATTAAAATTTGAGCCATTTAGATTTAATATTTTTATAAAATTTTTTAAAATATTTTCTTTATTGTCTAATAAGTTGTCCCAACCAAATTTTAGTGGTTGAATACCCACATTGAAAGAAACAGAAGTCAGATCTTTGACTAGCGGTTCCTCCACTCAAGTGGTGTACCAGTCGACACATATATTAATCTCAATGTTTTCAAATGTCATAATCCAATTTTTCATAATAACTAATAAGCTCTTTGATTCTATCTTTAAAGTTTGCTACATTATAAGGAGCTTATGTTTTCAACACTTAATCAAAAAAATTGAGACTCGAAGATTCAAGTGACGAAAGTTTGCAAGATCCTTCAAGGTTTGGGTCTTGGGAAATGTTCACTTCACATTTTCTCTCCCTAATCACTATAACTCTTTAGGTTATTTAACAAGTAAAAATTATAGGAAAAAGTACTTAAATGTTTATTAGGTTTTGTCAAATAAATTATTTTTTAATATAAAATACAATCAATAATTTAAGTACAATTTCTTTTTTGGGAAAAATAGTGATGGAGGACTATTAGAAAAAATTTATACTCTATCCATTAAAAAATATAAGGCATTTTTAATCTAATCTCATCTTTTAATAAAATAGTTACCTACTTTTAAATTAACGCTATTTTTTCATATTTATTCTTATTAAATAATAAATATAAAGTCATTATCAATAGTGATATTTTTGAAAAAAAAGGTAATGAATACATATCGAAAGATTAAAAATGCCTCACATTTTAACATACAACTCCTCAAAAAATATTTTATATTTTTTGAACGGAGGAAATATCAGTTAAGGATTAGTTGTCAAAATTCGAATAGAATATCTAAATGGATTGTTATTAATTTGGAATAAGTTGTTAAATTTTAAATGAATAGTTGTTGATAAAAGACTAACATCAATTAACAAATATTCATTCAAGTTTTGATAATAAATAATTTTTGATTGATATAAATTTATTTTGATAATAAATAATTTTTGATTGATATAAATTTTTTTCTAACAGTACTTGATTGATATTTTTTTTTTTTAAGTTATGATAAGGTATATAAGACCATGATGAGTATCTTTTCTTCTGTTTCTTCATTCGTTCAAGCTGGCAAAGTATCCAGTAAATTACTATTATATCTTCTACGCGAAGACAATTACATTTTTCATTCAAAAAAAAAAAAAAAAAAGGAAAGACCCAACTAGAATCTAGTAATATAAATGTGAATCTGACCAATCTGTAAAGCACTATCTTGCAAAAGCATCCTCTACAATATTTCAATTTCTCAATGATGCCTTCTGTATTAATTAATGATATAAATATTATTATAAAAGTGTAGTCAATGAGAACATGAGATGAAAGCTTTGCCATTGCTTATTTGTGCAAGGTGGTGATAGTTCTCAAATTTCAAAAATATTATTAAAATTAAAAGTAAAATTGAAAATTATTTCATGTTTTCCTAACCCAATATATGGTTTTATTTTTGTCAATGATACGACTTGCACAAAAATAGACACAAAAAATCCAAAGCCACAAAATTAAGGATATCTAAAAACATTATTTATAATTAAAAAACAAAAAAAATTCAAAAAAGAATTATACCTTTTGACCAAAAAAAAATATCATGATCCTTGACTAGAATTACAATATTTTTATGTAATTTTTTTCGGCACTCATTTTTCCCATTTTTATACTCGTTTTTTACTTTCTTAGTACTCATTTAATTTTCAGTACTTAGTGTTTTTTTTTTAGAATTTTAAATGTTTCCAGTACACATATTTCATGGTTTCAATATTACAATAATAAATGTAAGTGTTTCCAGTATTGAAAACATATAATTAGTATTGAAAAATTGAAAAAAAAAATCGAGCACTAAAAATACTAGTTATGAGCATTTACATTAAAAATGTGGTAGATGAATGTTTAAAGTATAAAATATGAATACACAAAAAAATAGATTAAAAAAATTTTAATTCAAATTAAGGATTATAGTCCTTCATTAAAATTTTATAATTGCACGGTTTTTAATTATAATTAATATTCTTGAAAGATCCTTAAATGCCGTTTTCTCCCAAAAGTACTTAAACATCCCAAGAGACACCTTCTCTTCGAGTTTCAATCGAAGTCCTTATCTGAACGAACGCTCTCTTCTGTGATTTCTTCTCCAATGGCAAGCAAGCAGCTAGTAATGGAAGACGACAACCCCTTTCTTCCCGACGATATCATCATTAACATTCTCAAAAGACTTCCGGTAAAATCCCTAATCCGATTTCAATGCGTGTCCAAAGATTGGAAAAATCTTATCAAGACTCCGTTTTTCATCCAAGACCACCTCCACCACTCCAACCATCAAAACCCTTCCCTTCTCCTCCAACCTGACCGTCCCAGGAATAGTCTTCGTGATATACACGTCGCTGTACTGGGTTGCAAAAAGCGAGTCCTTGATATTCAAGAACCACCTTTGATTGATTCGTCGTTGGATAATGGACTTGTGGTCGTGGGTTCCTGCAATGGCTTGGTTCTTGCTAGAATAGTTGAGCGTGGTACATCTTTTCCCTTGTGGCTAAAGAAAAATGGTTTACCTCCTCCTTCACTTTCCCTTTTATTATGGAATCCAGCAATTAGAGAGGTCAGAAGGTGCCCAGAAATATTAATGATTATGACGTTCTTTACCTTTTAGTATTTGGGTTCAGTCCGATTGATAATGATTACAAGATAATGAGAATTACTGTTTGTGAGCTTCATTTTGTGGTTAATTCAGTGGAGGTGTATTCATTAAACTCTGGGTCATGGAAGAAGGTAGGATTTGGAAATCTAGAGGGTGTAGGTTTTGGTAATCTGAGTAATGTAACTGTTAATGGGGTTATGTTTTTTGTTGGTAGAAAGGATGATTTTAATGATCAGGTAGTATCATTTGACCTGACAAATGAAGTGTTCACATTGATACCAATGCCTGATTTAGGTCGTGCTTATATCAGAAGGCTTACTGTGTATGAGAACAAAATTGGTGTGATTGCTGACTCTGTTGGAAAGGATAAATCTCATTTCATTCGTTTGCGGGTGATGGAGGAGGATACATGTGTGTCAGGGAAGACATGGAATTGGACTAGAATACATGCTAGCAAACACTGTTCTCTGCCTCGCGAGTTAAATCCAATGACTACTTGGAGGAATGAAATTGTGTTCCATCCTCTATATCAGATTGAGAATGATGTTGAAACAAATAAATTTTATCTGCTTAATATTGCTACTGATGAGTTTGAGAAGTTTTCTATCAGCTGTGGCTATATCAGTAAGATTTTTAATTACGTGGAAAGCCTTGTATCAGTCAGCAACATCGATGTTGAAGAACCTTGATTGTAAATTTTAGTGATTACATTGCAGGTCCACTTTCTTTAAACACTTCGGATGGAAATGAATCCATTATAGTTTACATCATAAGGTCATTATTGTTTATATATAGTTGTTGAGTCCTTTTGGTGAAATTATGTGGAAAGATGAATGTGGGTATTCAACTACCAGGTGCTAGTAACTGTATCTGACCTAGTTAGCATTATTAGTCGCTGTTGGATGGTTTATTCCTAGAAGTTTCTTGTTTCTTGTCTTTTTTGAATGATGAATCCATAATAGCAGATTTTCTGTTCCTTGTCTTTCATTTCATATCTCATATTTGTTGTAGTAGTTTTCCACTATAATGTGTGTGATATTTTCTTGGAGCTTTTTTTGAAGTTCACAATATGAAGTCTCTATTATCTTCTGCTTCCAAGGATGCTTAAAAAAGAACCTTTAATACGTGTTTGTATGAAGAATGAGATTGAAATCTATCAACTTATGTCCTGTGAAAAGGAAATTTTGAAAAGCAGATGTTGTTGGATGAAAATATGGTCAATTTTGTTGAATCCAATTTCCATCCTGACTATGAGACTATGAGCATGAGGAACAAGGAAATAGTTTGGAATTGTATTAGTACTCTAATGGGTAAATATTTTGTTTATAAAATTTCAAAGAGGTAAAGCTAATGGAATTTAATACTTTCTATAGTCAATTTGAGATGACTATGATTTTGTGTATATTTGATTTCTTTTTTTTTTTTACCATTATGTTTATAATTGATTGGCATGTATAGGTTGTTTTGATATTTTTATGAAAATTATGGTTTTGTATTTATAATTAATTTAATTTCAGGTCATTGGGTTGTTTGGATATTTTTAAAAAAATTAGTTTGGACTTATAATTGATTTTGAAATGTAATGTATGTAATATGAATGTTTGAATATATATATATATATATTATATTTGCAAACCAATAATTTTACCTATTTTTCAATTCTACTCTTCTATTACATGCGAAATCAATTTTATAAATCAATTACTACAAAATATAATCAGTTATATTTTAAATTAATCATGTAAATTGATTTTATTCAATGTAAATGCAACGAGAGTTGGTTTTGTCCGCTTCTTTTATCAATCGTTAGATTAAAATTTGAAATGTTTTATAAAATATTTTTTAAAACATTTTCTTTACTGCAATTCTTTTAAATTGCGCCAACAAATTGTAATTGTTGGAATTTAATTATTTTTTAATAATTTAACATTTTACTAATTATTTATAAAACATTACATTGTAACCTTTAAAATTCAATCAGAAGTAGAGCCAAAAAAAATGACTAGGACTGAAGGGTTGCCCTTTTAAATACATTTATATAAACTTGAAAATCATAATAGGCCTTAAAAAATGATTTTTTTTTTTTTTAGAAAAGCTGAGCTTTGAAGCCAATTGCTGATAGGCCTTGAAAAAAAAAGTGTCAACTTGAGCAGTCTTTTTAAATTTGTTTTTGTTTACCTTTAAAAAATAAAATATTTTTATTTTTAAATTGAATTTAAATTTTAGAATATATGTTTGTACTTTAATATTAAAATTTATATTAATTATTTTTAATTTTTGAACAATATAATTTTTATTTAAAAAATATGAAATATTATGATTAAAATTTTAATTTTAAAAATTAAAAAAAAAGGGCTTATAGGCTTGATCTTAAGCCCTTTGAACAAGATTGGTTTCAAAAAAATGATCAATTTTAGGATAATTGAGTTTATGGGCTTGAACCCATAATAGGCCTCGCCGTCCATTTCCCAACCTTAATGAAAAGCAGTTGCAAGTTAAATTTATAAGAGTTAATGAGTAAATAAGACCTTGAACTCTTACTCGAAAATCGCTCTGGATCCTGAACTCTTAAAATATGCAAAATAAATCATAAACTTTTAAATTTATAGTAAAGTAAACCCTTAACTGTTAATTTTTTTTAACATCATTAATTCATTATTGTCCACACAAGTACTATAACAATCAGAGTTAAATTTATAGGAAATAAACCCTGAATAGTACCTATGTGGATAGTAATGATGTTAAAAAGTTAATGATCAAGGTTTATTTTTTTATGAATTTAAAAGTTTAGGGTTTATTTTGTATATTTTAAGAGTTCAAAATTTAGGGTGATTTTTGAGCAATAGTTCAAGTTTCTGCCTTATGTCTTTGAACCCCTCTAGTCATCAGAAATGACCTCCGGATAAACTGTCGAATTTTGGAGGTGAAGATGTTTGGAAAAACATGAAGGGTATAGAAGTAAATGCTACTGCTCCCACCACTAAGAAGGTTGATGTTGTCATAACTAATAAGGAAATCCATGTTAACAACTCATCAATTTCTCAACCACAAAATGAGAACGTCAATTCCACACCCATAGGTGTTAAACCACCTATGTCTTATAAAGCTTCACCATTAGGTTACAATGGTGTTGTAGATAGGGACGAAATAATAGATGAGGAAGACAAGTTTGATGAGGAGAAAGAAATTCCTTAAGAACTCCTTAAACCAACTGAGGATGTTAAACGCTTAATAGAGCTTCGTCCGTAGTTCCTATCACCTCAATCGAGTTCAAAGAATGGTGCAAGCCTTAAAGGTACGCTCTGGTTCTAACTGTGCTAGGGAAAATGATGGACGTCTTAAAGCTTTTCTCTCATTTGTGGAATATTTTGAAATTTGAACTCATTGACTATATGAAAAATAATTTTCCCTAACTGTGCTAGGGAAAATGAAGGCTTAGGTTTAGTTTTCTTTAATTGTGGATGCTTTGGACATCACAACGAAATTTGTCCATGGAGATGTAGTTTAAACAAGACTACATTGTTGGAAAACACTGATGACCAATATGTTGTTACAACACTAACTATGGAATGGTAGATCTTGCTAATGTCCAAGGATGGGCATGGACCTTGGAATATGGTTCCACACATTACAAAAGGCCAGCTCCTAAGATGGGATTACAATAAATCCCTCAATCTAATAGGAGGAGATACTCGAAAGGTTTTTATAAACAGGTAAATCATGTTATAGTCTTTAGGTATGTGGTGTTAGCAGTTGATGAGGAGGAAAATATGTCCTTAGAGAATGCGTGTTTCATCACCAATAAGGAGACTATGATCCCAAGTATAAGAGATATTTCCTCCACAAAAAATGATAAGCAAAGGTTAAAGGGAAAAAGGGCGTCATTTACAAAGATACATATGAAAGGACTAGGGCAATGCAAAATTACTTTGTATAGAGGCAAGAAGAATGTCAAACCTTTAGAGGTAATAGCAAGCAAGGCTAAGAAAATAAGCCAGGCCAACATTCTTATATTGTTATGTCAAATAATATTTCTCAAGTCAATCTTAGTGGTAAGAAGTATGATCCCAAGAATAAAGAAATCAAAAATAGTACATCTAGTAGCCTAACTAATTATGATGATAAAAGTCCGCCCTTAGTTCAAGAAGCACCCCTTATCATTACCCAAGCTTCATCCCTAATAGGTGAACCTCCTGAATCACTAGATGAGCAAGGGATGGGTATGGAGGAGAATAGCGATGATAGAATAGAGGATGACATGAATTTGGCGATCATGCCTATAGGAAGAATTAACCTAGATTTTAAAGATGATGATATGGTCAAATAAGTCCTTCTCTTATCACTTTTTTTTACAGGTTTATCCATGATTACAACCTTTTGGAATTGTAAAGGTGTGGGGGTAAAGCTTTTCCTGTGCACTTTAAAGACATTTCTAGAAAGTATAAGACTAATTGTTTTTGTCTAAGTAAGCCAAGAATTAGTAGTGTTATGGTGGACAGGTTATTAAAAAATTAAGTTTTTCAAACTACTTAGAGTTCAAGCCACTAGTTTTATTAGAGGTATTTAGATTTTATGGAATAGCTCAAATTTTACTATTAATTACATATGCTCTAATGTCCAGTTAATCTATTGTTGTGTGGTGGATGGCAAAAATAATTTCATCAAATTTATCACCTTTGTTTTAGGGAAACTTCATTATATAGTCAAAACCTTCTTTAGGATTCTCTTTCAACCATTGCATCTCATACTGTAGATCCTTGAATTGTTTGTGGAGACTATAATACTTAGCTTACCCCAGATGACAAAAAAGGGGAGCTAAACCTAATTGGAGAGGTACTTATTATAGGTAATCATTTTACTTGGGAACGACAACATATTAAAGAACGTATTGATTGGGTGTTTTACAATGCAAGCTGTTTTGAAAATTTTGCTAGTCTTAAAGCCTGCGGTTATCTTAAATTCAAATATGATCATTGTTTGTTTGTTGTCTTTGACTGTGCCTCTCTTAACTAGAGAAGAAACAAAAACTCCTTTAAGTTCCATGCTACTTGGCTATTAAAGGAGGGATTAAATGAAGTTTTAATTATGTTTGGAATTGAAAATATTAGATTGATAGAATCCCTACCTTTAAAGATAACATTACTATATGGAATACTCATCATGTTGCAAACTTACTTTAAGAAGGAAGAGTTTGCTTAAAAGATTGGATGCCATTGACAATGCTAGATTTGCAAATAATAGAAATGGGCTTTGGAAAATTGAGCAAGATCTTTGGAAGGAATGCCATAAACTTGCAGCACAAGAAGAATTATTATGGTAGAAAAAATCTAGAGGCCATTGGCTTGAATAGGGTGATAAAAATTCTAGGTATTTTCATGCTTTTATAGCCATCAAGCATAGTGAAAAAACATTAAATCTCTAAATAATGATCAAGAAGAATGGATTGATGATCAACATACTCTTAAAACTATGGCCCATTATTTCTTCTCTCAATTCTACTCGAGAGATAGTGATATAGCTCAAAATCCTTACATGCTTGCAAACTTTTTATCTTTATCTCAAAGTGACTTATTGAAGATTCAAAGATAAGTTTCTGACATTGAGATTAAAAATGTTTCTTTTTCTATAGGGGCTTTTAAAAGCTCCAAGATTGAATGGATTATAAGCTCAATTTTTTCATAGTCAATGG